GATGGAGAAAAGCATCTCAATTTGTATTCACTTCTCTTATCTGATGCATGAATGTGGGCTTCCCTAGTTCACAATGGTATAGTTTGACTTTGAGGTAAGTGTGACATAGAGTGCTTATGTCTTTTACCTCCTCAGTTTTCAATCACAAGTAGCCCACTCATGCCCTATGTAGAGTTTTTGTGGCCGGATATTACGGTACTTTTTGAACTAATTCTAGTACAGATATGTCAGATGAGTAGTAATAGTACTTTAGACTTGTGTTTGATTAGAAATGAGATACAAGGATTTTCAAAGATATGATATTTCCGGTCAATATTCTTTGATTCTGAACAATTAAGTTCATTTTTTGTTTTTTCAATTGTAGTCATTCAGATACTAATCTGGTTGAGTTGGGGGAGGAGACAATCAAGGAAGATGATCGGGCTGTTTTGCTGGAAGGAGGCCTTCCGAGATCAGCATCTACAAAGTTTAATAGTTCATCCATTAAAATAAACTTAATTAGGTTACTACCCATAATATACAGTATCTTCATTGAATTTTCATATTGATTACTATTAAAGGTCTTTCTCACGTTCCACTTCTCATGAATTTCTAGGTTTCTGACTATGGATGACTCTTTTTTACTTGAAAACAGAGCAACTCTTAGAGTGATGTAAGTAATTAGTACGCAACGTATCTTCTCAGGACCAAATTTCTTATTGTACAATTATATAATACTTGACATCAAATATAGGTCTGAGCTTGGGGCAATTCTGTTCTATTTCTACATATGTGACCGCACAAATATACTGGGAGCTTCTACAAAGGTACATTTGTTCTGCTTCCCTAATGTATTCTTACCTCTAGTTGCTTTGATTGAAATTAGAACAGAAATACTATTCCCATGATACTAAGTGTGTATGATCCCATAGAAGGTCTAATCTATTATTGTCCTTTTCTGCCTTAAGTGCCTTATTTCATTCACCTACACATCTTGCTCATCATTTCATGTCCTGGTACAATAAGATACTATCTTTAATATTGCTTCTATGTTTCTAAAGGAATTATTCAATTGAGTGAATCTTTATTGAGGAAAAATGTTAAGGATGGCAGTGTTACTATTGACACGTGTTTGATAAACACAATTTTTTTTTAATTGACGTCACCACATGCTGCTAAGGACAATAAGCTGGTTTTACTATTGTAAACATTGATTACTTTTGTCGTTATTTTTTGAACAGAGTTACAATCGGGATCTGTTCCTCTTTCTGTACCTTCTCCTCATCATAGTTTCAGCAATGACATCTTTGAAGAAACATACTGACAGATCAGCATTCTCTGGAAAATCTATACTTTACCTGAATCGGCATCAGACGGAGGAATGGAAAGGGTGGATGCAGGCAAGTACTCCTTTCCAAGTTCATAACTTGTAGGGAACATATATTTAGTTTGGGAATACTTTTTCTCTCTTTTTTCTTTAGGAGGGGAATTTTGAACTTGTGCTCACGGTGAACTGCCACTGTTATTTTCTTTCTACTCTTGGAGTGTGTATTGTGACACCATCCATGCTCACCTTGCTGGAAGAAGCATATGTCATCCTTTGATTTTTTTTTGTTTTTGGTTGTTAAATTTGGATGGTGTGAAGCTATAGATTTGATTGGATTCATTTAGAGTTAATCAGATCTCTGTTGGGAAAAACCTACATCAGTACACTTTAGTTTTCATTTCCAGTTGAACATCAGAATTTATTATGTATAGAGCTCAGTTCTCTTACTACATTGTTTGTAACAAGTAACTTATTTATGTACTATTAGTATAATTCATTTCTTTTGCTTCTTGGCAGGTCCTATTTCTAATGTACCATTACTTTGCCGCAAGTGAGATTTACAATGCAATACGTGTCTTTATTGCCGCATATGTTTGGATGACTGGATTTGGAAACTTTTCCTACTACTACATTAGAAAAGATTTTAGCCTCGCCCGCTTTGCTCAGGTAAAATGCAGTTTCTGGGCAGTATAATCTCACAAGTTTCTTTGGGGAGTATTAAGCCAATGATCTAAAATGCTTGTACTCTTTCTTGTACAATGCAGATGATGTGGCGGCTAAATTTTTTTGTGGCGTTTTGCTGTATTGTTCTTAACAACGACTATATGTTGTATTACATCTGTCCAATGCACACTCTGTACACTCTTATGGTGTATGGAGCCCTTGGCATCTTTAGCAAGTACAATGAGATCAGATCAGTGATGGCTGTAAAGATTCTAGGATGCTTCCTTGCGGTTATCTTGATTTGGGAAATACCTGGAGTTTTTGAAATATTCTTTCGTCCATTATCCTTCTTATTGGGTGAGTAACCCATTCAGCTTTCCGGTTTTGATTTATTATGTTTTTTACTGTTGTAAATTCAAACCAAAAGAAAAGAAAAAAAAAACTGTGGGAAAATTCAGGAACCTAGTTCATAATTCAGCCTTTCAGCATGGCTCTTCTTCTTACTCTAGGCAGACTTGTTAGAAATTTGATTACACTCATCCTAGAGTCTTTATTTTATGCTATTCTTGGTAGGCTCATAGTTGGACCTTTGACAAATACTTTCGGGTTAAGGGCTTAGGGTTTTAGCCGAACAAAAAAGTTACAATAGGTCTCAAGTTGATTTTAGATTCTTTATAAAGAAGAAGAAAAAAAGGTTGATATGGGATTCTTGAATTCTTTTATGCGGATGAATATCTACTGGTTCCCACATGACTTAAAACTTATTGTCTTTGTTTTGTATTTTTCTGTCGTGTAGGGTATACTGATCCTGCAAAACCAGATCTCCCTCGTCTGCATGAATGGCATTTTAGATCTGGACTTGATCGCTACATATGGATTATTGGAATGATATATGCCTATTATCATCCTAATGTAATCTCCTGAATATTTAGGTATCTGGTTGCTTTTGCTTTCTTGCTACTCCAACTACTGAAATTTTAAACCTAATATCTATTAGGTGGAGAAATGGATGGATAAATTGGAGGAATCTGAAACCAAAAGGAGAGTCTCAATTAAAGCAGGAATATTTTCCAGTTCTGTGTTTGTAAGTTTCATGCTTTGTCTGGTAATTGTTATCTGCGTATAACTAATGGCTAATGTTTTAATCTTGTAATGTGATCTCATGCTCATTATTTCTTTTAGGTTGGTTATCTGTGGTATGAATATATTTACAAGCTGGACAAGGTTTCATACAACAAGTTGCATCCCTACACATCATGGATTCCAATAACGTGCGTGTTTTAAGACTTTTGTTTCTTTTTCAAATGAAAGGGAATGTTTTGTTGGGAGTTTTATCAGATGAAATTCAATATTTGGTGAACTATATTTTTCAGTTCATTTTAGTGACTTACTTTCACCTCTGCTTATTGATTTCAGTGTTTATATATGTCTGCGGAACTTTACTCAGCAGTTGCGGGGTGTCTCTTTGACTCTCTTTGCGTACGTATTCTTATCTGAAAACTGTAATGAGTCAAAAACTGTAGTCCCCTTTGCAGGGTTAATAATTGTTCAGTCCTAATTTTTTGCTTTTCATGTCTATGAAAGTTTTATTGATCATTTTGTGTGTACAATTTCACTTTGTATTGCTAGGTGGCTTGGCAAGATTACTTTGGAAACCTATATTTCACAGTTCCACATCTGGCTGAGGTATGTGACACTTTACCCTTTTCTTTTCCTTATTATTCTTTAACTATGAGTCTATGACCACTAAGTCATACATTTTATAACCAGTGTATTAGTGTTTACAATTGCCTGTCAGTTCTGCTACTATTTACAAATTTTTCTTTTTTCATATGAAAATACATGAAAAAAATTCCTATATTCATGTACAGATCAAACACACCTAATGGACAGCCTAAGTGGCTTCTCTCTCTCATTCCAGAATATCCCTTGCTCAACTTCATGCTGACAACTGCCATCTATGTTTTGGTAAGAGAATTTTTATGCGACCCTTAAAAAGTTTGCAAGCCAACAATGCTTACAAATTCTCACCTTTGCCTGCTGTTCTGTTGTTTCTGTAGGTATCTCATCGGCTTTTCGAGTTAACTAATACGCTTAAGACAGTGTTTGTACCCACAAAAGACAACCAAAGGCTGCTTTATAATTTTCTTGCAGGGGTGGCCATTTTTACTTGTTTGTATTTCATCTCATTCATTCTTGTTCAGATACCTCATTGACCAGTAAGAACCCTTCTGCTATATGCTGCCTACTCTTTCCTTGTTGTTTCTTAGATGCTGTGCAGAGATTTTGTGATTTAGCTTTATCAAGAAGTTTCAAAACTTGTCGGAGTCTTCATAGTTGCGTATATTAATGGGTTTTTACTGTGACAGGCTTAACGAAGAAGACCCAAAAGAGGGTTATACAGATGTTTCCTGTTGAATGTGCAAATATAGAAAGAATTTAATAAGGGAGTTGGAAGATGTTGGTTGCAAATATAGCCTGTAAAGCTTGCGGTTCCAACAGTTTTTCGAGGAGAAAGGCACTGTCCATTGCTGTGTGAAAGCTTGAACATGGATGTTAGGTTTGCCTTTGGAAAGTTTGGCAGGCGGTGGCAGGAAGCAGGAAGCAATAGAGAAAGGAATTCTTTTGAAATATATATGATTGCCATGTATCTTCTTTTTCCTTTCCCACAGTTTTGTTAAATCATTGAAGAAAAAATGTAGATTCCTGTGACATAGATTTGTTGTTTGTTATAAATCAAGTTCAATAGTCATGAGCAATGTGATCTTCTGTTATGTTTATTGTTAAAATGTTTCACACAAAAAATGTGCATTGAATTGGAAAGAAATAGTTGAGTTAAACGTACAGGTATCTTTTTGCCATATTTTCAGTTAGGTATTTCACACTTTCCACGAGCCCCCATATGAGCATCCAAATATAAAATGTGATTAGTTAGAACAAACCTAATGATGTTACATCAATTCAAAACAGATGAATTTAGAGAAATTATACATCCATTTCTATTACAATATAGATATTTCTAAAATTCCCATCATAATTTCAACAAATCTAGGATAAGGGTGGCAAGGGCATGATCATAAGTTGTCAATGGCAAGATTGGTTGTTTATGCATCGAAATTGGGAAGCCAATATGAATAGTTGATAGTTACAATTTCTTTTTTGGGCACCAAAAAATTGTCATATAAATTTGACAACTTGCATTGTTGAGAAGTAGAGTAAAACAAGAATGATAAAAGAGCTAGGCCAATTGTAATTGTCAATTGGAAAAACCCATGTATCTACTCTACTCCAAGGTTTCATTGCATTGCTTGCTTGTCTTACTTGTTTCTTCAATCCCGTGCTAAATGTGACACACACCACACTCCACATTTCCATGCCCAAGTTTACATGTGAATTAAAATAAGGCCCCCCCCCCTCTCTCTCTCTCTCTCTCTCTCTCTCTCTCTCTCTCTCTCTCCACCATTTGGTCAGTTTCTTCACCTCTGACATGGGAGAAGCTCAAGAACTGCAACTCAACATCATAGGTATGTCCCTTACTCATTTACTTACTACCTCTTTTTATTGATTTGTTTTTAAGTGCAGTGAGTCTATTTCAATGTGATCTTATCAGAGTAATAGCAACTGATATGCATAAGTCAATCCAATTATCGAGTAGTAGATCATTCCTAGGAATGAAAATTTGATTAGGAAAAGAGTTGGCTAGAACAAGAATCCCAAGTAAGTTTATCAATGAATTCAATGTAGTTTTGGCTCTTCTTCTTTTAATGAATAACTTAATCAAGTAATGGCAAGCATTACTTACAAGCAATGTAAAGACATAAGGGGACATGACAGAGTTTTATGTGCAAACATAATTTCTCTCTGGGTTTTGCTGCAGATCAGATAGCTGATAATGCATTGCAACACAAAAGTTACAAACAATTCAAAGCAGCACACTACTAACTTCCAATATTGATCCTTGCATATCTGTTCACTTTTATCAGTCCTGGATTCACATGAAGCAAATCACCAAGGGTGCACAGATGTTCCTGAACAACCAATGCTTCCCCGGTGTAGAAATTTGAACTGGTGGGTTAGAATTGCCATTTATATGCTGTTCGTCATTGCCGGCCAGTCAGCTGCTACACTTCTAGGAAGATTATACTATAACAAAGGTGGCAAAAGCAAATGGCTGGGAACACTTGTACAACTTGCTGGCTTCCCCATCCTCCTTCCCTACTATTGCATCCCAGCAAGCAGAAGAATCCCGACCACAAACATCACTACTAATAATATCCCATTGAAATCACCCTCTACCTTAATCCTTGCATCAATTTATGTCTCTCTTGGCCTTTTGGTAGCATTAGGCTGCTTCTTGTACTCTGTTGGCCTATCTCTCCTTCCTGTATCTACTTATTCTCTTATTTGTGCATCTCAACTAGCCTTCAATGCAATTTTCTCCTTCTTCCTCAACTCACAAAAGTTCACTCCCTACATTGTCAATTCTCTAGTTCTCCTCACCATCTCCTCCACCCTCCTTGTGTTCCAAGGCGGCGACTCTGCAGACGATCCAACTGGAGGCTCGAAAACAAAGTATGTGATCGGGTTTCTATGCACGGTTGGGGCATCAGCTGGATATGGATTAGTGCTTTCTCTAACACAGCTTGTCTTCAGAAAAGTTATAAGAAAGGAGACATCTGCAGTGATCTTGGATATGATAGTGTATCAATCTCTAGTTGCAACCAGTGCTGTCTTGGTGGGACTTTTCGCCAGTGGAGAGTGGAGGGGTTTAAGGAAAGAGATGGAGGGGTTTGAATTAGGGAAGGTATCTTATGTCATGAACTTGACATGGTCAGCTATAATATGGCAGCTCTACGCTATTGGTGCAGTAGGGTTGATTTTTGAGGCCTCTTCTCTCTTCTCCAATGCCATAAGTGTTGTGGGTTTGCCTGTTGTTCCAGTTCTAGCTGTGATCTTCTTCCATGACAAAATGGATGGGATTAAGGCAATGGCCATGATTTTGGGCATTTGGGGCTTCATTTCATATGTTTATCAGCACTACCTTGATGACCGCAAGTCCAAGACAGAGAGCAACAATGCCACTGGTGAAGTTTCTAAAGCTTTCCCACTGGAGAACATCAACGGTTAGATAGACAGGCTTGTGTATGTCAAGTATAACATTCAAGAATCCAAGACCTAAAGAAAACAAATTTCAAAAGCTAAACAGATGCCCAACTATAGCATTAGACATGTGATTTATGTGGCATTTTTATACGTGTCATCCTTGTGCAGGGAACATGCTAATCTTCTCAATATCGTTCCAATTTTATCGGATATCCCTGAAGGGACAAGGATTGTTATAGTAATTTAAATTAAACTCAATGCATATAATACATCATGGAACATGATTGATGCGTAGAACAATCTACACAATTATGCATAATTTTAACAGTTTGATTGGGATAGTAACTTTTGGATAGGAACATGATTAATTAACTTTACTAGTACCAGGGACAGGCCAAATTTACAGAGCTTGACATTTTGACAGCTTTCAAAAAGGAGAAAAATGTACTTCAACCTCAGCACTACCTTATCAACACTGAAACTATAGATTGTAATGAAGATGATGATGGGCCATGCAGAGTTGGCCTCTGCTGTGCCAGGTATATAAATGTGTTGATAAACAAACAACTCGTGGGGCCCAGAAAATGAGGCGTGGGTGGCCATCTTCTTCTTCATTGATCTCTAAGTCGTCAGCCGCCTGAAGAGGTCGATTTGTATATCAAACAAAGAGAAGTGATCAAAATTTAGCCTGTCTTATTCATGATGTGATATTATTGTTGCAACTTGCAGTTTTTGAAGAACACAATATATAAAGCAAGCAATAATAGAACGGCAAGAGGCAAAGTCCTATTAGAACTTTGAATTGGAAATATCCATGTATCTATCTATATCTACTGTAAAATTGCATGCATGTCTTTATTTGTTTCTACAATCCCATGCTGGTTGGTTGACACCAGTCCACATGTTACATGTAGATTAATCCAATAATATTTTCATGTGAATTGAAGCAAGACCTCTCTCTCTCTCTCTCTCTCTCTCTTGATTTTTTGACATGGGAGAAGCACAAGAACTGCAGCTCAGCATCATGGGTATGTCAAATTCATTTACTCACAGGCTTTGGTCAATATTTTTTTTTAGTGCAGTAAGTTTACTTCTATGTGATCTTATCAGAGAATAGCAAGTTAGCACCTGATATATGCTTAAGTCAATCTACTTGTTGATGCTCAGAAGTGAATTCTGTTCTTGTGAGTTATGAGTCATAAAAATTACAAGAGGGGGTTGGAGGGAGAATTCTGAAAAATCCCAACTTTTAATTTATTATCATAATCATAGTATAGCAAGTGAGAGAAACTTTGTGACTGAATTTGATGTTAAAAAACATCTAAAACTCTCTGGGCACTGCAACACTGAAGTTACAAATAAAGCACCACTTCAGTAAAATGACTCAATTCAAAGATTAACTCATAAGTTCCTTATAACATCTGTTCTTATAGCTCAGGAAGCAAATGAAGCAAGCTCACCAGGGCATACAAATGTTCCCGACCGGTCACTGCTTCCTCAGCGCAGAAGTTTCAACTGGTGGCTTAGAGTGGCCATTTATGCATTCCTTGTCATCGCTGGCCAGTCAGTTGCAACACTCTTGGGAAGATTGTACTTCGACAAAGGCGGCAACAGCAAATGGCTGGCAACAGTGGTAGCCCTTTGTGGCTTTCCTGTCCTGCTTCCCTACTATTGCATCCCAGCAGCAAGCAGAAATCCAATCACAAAAAATAGTACTGTCCAATTCAAACCACAGTCCACCTTAATCCTTGCATCAGTATATGGCTCTATTGGCCTCTTATTAGCACTGGACTGCTACTTGTATTCTGTAGGCCTAGCTTACCTTCCTGTGTCTACTTATTCCCTCATTTGTGCATCCCAATTGACCTTCAATGCACTTTTCTCCTTCCTCCTCAACTCACAAAAGTTCACTCCCTACATTGTCAATTCTCTAGTTCTCCTCACCATCTCCGCCACCCTCCTCGTGTTTCAAGGCGACTCTGCGGATGACCCTAGCGGAGGATCGAAAACAAAGTATACGATCGGGTTCATATGCACCGTTGGGGCATCAGCCGGATATGGATTGGTGCTTTCCCTAACACAACTTGCCTTCAAAAGGGTTATAAGAAAGGAGACATTTAGAGTGGTCATGGATATGATAGTGTATCAATCTCTAGTTGCAACCTGTGTCATCTTGGTCGGGCTTTTCGCTAGCGGAGAGTGGAAGGGTTTGAAGAAAGAGATGGGGATGTACAAACTAGGGACGGTATCCTATGTTATGAACTTGGTATGGACAGCTATAACATGGCAGCTTTTTAATATTGGCGCAATAGGCTTGATTTTGGAGGCCTCTTCCCTCTTCTCCAATGCCATAAGTGCTATGGGTTTGCCTGTTGTTCCAGTTCTAGCTGTGATTTTCTTCCACGACAAAATGGATGGAATTAAGGCAGTGGCCATGGTTTTGGCCATTTGGGGCTTTATTTCTTATGCTTATCAGCACTACCTTGATGATCGTAAGTCCAAGAATGAGAGCAAAAATGTCAATGGTGAAGTTTCTAGAGCTTCATCACTGGAAAAAATTAATGGTTGAATAGATTGGCTTCTGTATATCATCAATCTTAAGTCTAGTTTTATGCAAAAGAAGAATTACAAGCTTTCCCCTTAGTTAACTACAGGTCGTTCTTAATTATATGTTGACTGGCTTGTGACATATAGATGCCCTTATTCTGATTAAAGAAAACATCATTTTCTAATTGAATGTTCTTTCCAAGTGCCTGAAACATGTTTTAAATCGTACCAGTCTGGCCATATAAAGAATAATGATTATGATGCAGCCCATATGCTTTCCCAAATATGTTGAAAATGGTGCAGTAACGTGTTAATTGTGGACCAAGGCCTCAAATCACTGAAACTGGACACCTATCACCTGCAAAACTTGCAGGCCATTCATATTGCATAAGAGCTCTTCTTCTTCTTCTTCTTCTCTCTCTCTCTCTCTCTCTCTCTCTCTCTCTCTCTCCTGTATAACTTTTAAGATTCTTCACCTCTGAAATGGGAAAGGCTCAAGATCTGCAACCCCACAACACAGGTAAGCCAGATTTCTATTTGCACAAAGATTTTCTGATTTGTTTGTTGCTTCTCTAAATAAATTCGGGAAAGCATTTTCATGGATTTTTTTCCTTTTAATTTATGAACTCAATAAGACTATAGAATTGTACTCTTCTTACTGTATGTTTGAGTGAATGTAATAGAAACCTGTAGGCAGCCCATTACATTGAAAATAAATGAAGAAAAAACACTCTACAGATTTTATTTCATCTGCTATTAAAGGAAATGGTGAATTTATTGATGAACTAACTCATAGATGAAGCTGCCCCCATCGTAATTCAAATATATGTTTCATAACAGTTAAAGGAGGTGAAGAAGTTAATACACTTGAGTCTGAGAAAATCACCCACCAAGCAACAATATCTCAGCTCAAAGATTTTACATGGTGGGTTCGTATGGCCATCTATACACTCTTTGTCCTCTCTGGCCAATCAGCAGCTATACTCTTGGGACGACTGTACTATAACAAAGGTGGAAAAAACTTATGGATGGCAACCCTGGTGCAATTCATAGGGTTCCCAATCCTAATCCCTTACCACTGCATCTTATCATCCAAAAAGATTGCCCTCAACCGCAATGTGAACCAGCTGGATGTCTCGGCACTTGCATTCATGTATCTTTCTTTTGGAGTGTTACTAGCAGCAGACAGCTTTCTGTATTCTATAGGTCTATTGTACCTTCCAGTTTCTACCTTTTCGCTGATTTGTGCATCCCAGTTGGCCTTCAATGCTTTCTTCTCCTTCTGCCTTAATGCACAGAAGTTCACCCCTTGTATAGTCAACTCTTTAGTCATTCTCACCATCTCCTCCACCTTGCTTGTGTTTCACCCCAGCTCGGTAAACCTCACTGGAATCTCCAAAGAGAAGTATACAGTCGGAGTCATTTGCACGGTTGGTGCATCTGCTGGGTACGGTTTGATGTTTTCCCTCACACAGTTCTCCTTCGAAAAGGTTCTAAAATCACAAACATTTGTAACTGTCTTAGAAATGATAATCTATGAGTCGCTCGTAGCAACCTGTGCTACCCTAGTGGGACTTTTCATCAGTGAAGAATGGCAGGGTTTAAAGAGAGAGATGGAGGAGTTTGAGCTGGGGAGGTCATCCTATTTGCTGACTTTGATTTGTACAGCAATGGCATGGCAAACTTTCAACATTGGGGCAATAGGACTGATTTTTGAGGTGTCTTCCTTATTCTCCAATGTTATAAGTGCTTCTGGCTTGCCCTTTGTTCCAGTTCTAGCTGTAATCTTCTTCAAGGAAAATATGGACGGAATAAAGGTGATTGCCACGGTATTGGCCCTCTGGGGCTTCGCTTCATATCTCTATCAGCACTATCTCGATGATTTAGAGTCCAAGGCTGAAACTAAACATGTAAAAGAAATTTCAATGATTCCTTTACTGAAAGAGGACAACTTTTGAGTGATTAGTAAGACGGACAACTGAAGATCCATTAACAAAGGAGAGAAACATATTATGAGCACAAACACTGCCGATTCTTCTAATCCCTTATATTTATTACAAGATGGCAACATTTCACTTAGACCTTTTTATTGCATCATCAATCTGTATAAGTTCTAGCCATCTTCTTTCCCTGCGAGGCTGTGAAGTAATCCGAACTTGTGTTCATCAACTTCAAGGAATTATTTAAGATTGACTACAGTTGCAGTTTTTCTTTTGTCCTACAGTAGTTACCCTGCTTTTTTCTTTCATACTTAAATGTCAGAGAACTAAATCAGATGTAATTAATCCAAGGCTTTTGTTACAATTATATCAATCCAAATGTGCAAACTTGGCCAAAACTGAGTGATTACTACTCTGTTCTTTTTCCCCTGCTAAGCCCCACATGCTAGATTTTCACATTAGAACTATGGCTTCAGTATGTTAGTACAGCATAAAAGGTCAACATTTTAAAAGATTACCAGTGCCAAATACTATGGAAGTGTTAACCCAAAAGGAGAAAGACCACAGAACCTAAAAGGTAAAGACGTAATGCCTAGCTTTAACAAATGACAATGCCATCACAGTTAAAGTATTCTTCTTAATATGAAAGTTGAAGCTAGTTGTGCATAAGTTTTGATCTCTGACATTCCCCAAAAAGTATTCATATAGATTAAGCAATGAACTTTACATCAGTTGAATAGTCCCGAATTGTTTGATCCAATCCTCATTGGTGGGATCAGAGCACACTTTTCCTCACTCAAGAAGTATAACATGTTGGCAACTATAGGTGCAAGAACAAAAATAAAGTGTAGAACTTGAAACTTGAGAAATGCACATTACATTGCAAAAACTTAGAGGTTAACTGTTAAAGTGAGAGTACCCATGCCAGGAGCAGAACTGAACCAACTACATGAGGCAACCGACATAGTGAGCTCGAGGATACTTCCTCTGTAGCTGGGGCCATTGCACAAAGAACTGATCCGCAATGTGTAACTTGTAAAGCAGCAAGCCACTTAAGGAGAGCCTTTGCACTCTTGCTATGCTCTCAACATAAAACACAGATGACCATCTAATCCCCACAATCTGCATTATTTCAATATCACCTCATGAATCAAAAAGTTTCCAAATTTATCACATCACAGTATTAAAAGGGCAATCAATCACCCAAGAAAGAAAAGAGAAAAAAAAATACACAAAAGGGTCTAAAAGAATTGCATCCAGACCTTAAACAAGAACGCAATTACACAAAGTGGAACACAAGTCCCAGGCCCGTTGCATAGAATCTGCAATTAAAAAATTGTTGATCATGAATGATTTGATTTCAAAATTTCCAAAGTCACATATCAATAGAAATGAATAGGAAAAAGGAAGAAAACACCAAAATTACCACTTGGGGTCTGATTCTGAGCATAAGCCAAAACCCATGAGCCAAAGCAATCAAAGTAGTCCAAACAGAGGTGATATAAGACTGACCCACTTCCCTACTTCGGTAGATCTGCATGAACTGTGAGCTTGAAGTCTCTTCGAGCAGGCGAGCTTTCTGGAGGCTCATGTTGTCAGTGGCAGCAGCAATGTAGAACCTGGGGGCAAATCTGTCCTTTTGCAGCACGGACAAGAGGTTGATCATCTCTGCAGTGTGGCCCCCTGAGCCTAAAACGATGAGGGTGGTGAGGGGTTGCTGTGGAGCCGAGCCTTTCGAACTTCTGGGTTTGAGGGGTTTGCCGGTTCGGTGCAAAACGTAGAGCAGACGGGTCACGATCAACGTTGTGGTAACGATTATCAGAGCAATTGCGACGGTGCAGGCCATAATTGGGAAATCGAAAAGCCTTTTGCTTCCGTCAAAGGTGAGGACTTCGGGGAAAAATGGAAGCGACTGAAAAGAACTGATGAAGGAACAAAAACGAATTTTCGGTTTATTCCCGGGGAAAGTAGAAAGTACAACTTTTGTTGGCGTCTATTAGGCCTCATCATTTGGCCCGCGGGCTCATGGGCTTACGGGGGCCCGCCCGGCCCATCGACAAATATAAATAGAGAATTATGAAAAAAAGAGGAAATATAAAAACACATCAAAATAGGCCTCATATTTATGAAAAAAAAGACAAATATCTTTACATAATAATTAATACACAAACACCTAATCCCACCTCCTTTGACAATAATGACACTTGAAACTAACATTTCCTCCAGTTTGATTGAGCATTAGAGCACTCTGGAATTTCATTAATGTGAGCATTGGCTCTCATTAATGTGAGGCTTGTGACAAGGTCCTCGTAGTTAGAGCACTTTGGAATTTCATTAATCAGGTCACATTCCTCCATATAGGCCTGTAAGTCGTGTGCACTCTGATCATTAGGGTTTGCTACAGCATATGCTTGATCCTTGAGGAAAGCTAACTGTGCTTGTAAGTTGACCACCTGAAAAGTTCAAACCAAAAGCATATACTCATCATTTACTTCAACATACAATCTGAACATACAAAGGGTACTAAATGATTAACCTGCTGTTTGAGAGCAATAATATGTGAAACACAACCATATATGGGATCTTGAAGCCTGGCTTCAGCTTCATGCCATATCGTCGTTGTGGCCTCACATCGATCGCTCAACGGAAGGTGAGCTAAAAGATTCGACACATTGCTTGCGCCAAAAACCTTGTGGATGGCAGAAAAATGGGTAGCTCCCTCTTCATAGGAGAAATAAGGCTTTGCGGCCTCACATCGATCGCTCAACGGAAGGTGAGCTAAAAGATTCGACACATTGCTTGCGCCAAAAACCTTGTGGATGGCAGAAAAATGGGTAGCTCCCTCTTCATAGAAGAAATAAGGCTAAAAAATACACCCTATCACACATTTTCTTCTTAAGAACTTGCAGGCTCCACAGGGAGAACGAGAACCAGCCTTTTTTTTTTTTGGTCAAGACCAGCCATGGTTTTGATGATCTTTTTTGTTGGTGATTATTGCTGGCTAATCTCCTAGAGAAAGAGGAAGAGCGACTCAGTAGGGGAAGGGAAGGAGAAAATTAAAAAATATCAGTCACAGTGGAAGGGAATAATTGAGGGAAAGCGAATAATTGAAGGCATCCAAAGCGAATAATTAAAAATATCAGTCACAGTTAAGATAATTGAAGGCATCCAAAGCGAATAATTGAGTATATTTGAAGCGAAGTTTAGGCCCATTTCGGCCCGGCCCGGCCCGATGGGCTATTTCAAGCCCGGCTCATGGGCTGGGCTTGGGCTTTGAATTTTCTAAAAAAGCCCAGCTCGGCCCGATATTTTCTCTCTCCTCTTTAAAGCCCGGCCCGGCCCGGCCCAAGCCCATTAAATTTGGGCCGGGCTAGCCCGGTCCGACCCATTGACGAGCCCTAGCGTCTATCGAAATAAGATATACCTGTGTTCGAAAAATCGGCTTAGCGGGGCTGGGCGCCTGGGCGGGTCGGTTTTATTTATTTATTGGGAAAACAAATTTGGAGAAAAAATTGAAAATCTGTCTGTCTCTAATAGAACTTCCACTCCATTGTGCCATGGTAAATGACAAAGGTAAGAAAAGGCAAATACTATTTACGTAAATAGTGACTGCCCCAGCAATTTACTTGAATAGTGACTGCCCCATCTTTAAGGGCCAACCATCTGGCTCAGTAAAAGACTAGTAGTTTCAGATTCGAACCCCAATAGTACCTTGATAGTGTGTGTGAGAAATCCCCTCCTCTTATAATTTAGACCATTACTTGTATTAAAAAACAAACAAAAAGAACCATTGATTAAGAACTTGAAAACAAAGGATTGCTAGTCAATTTATAGATAATTAATTAAATAAACAAATTCCAGTTATTTTTCTCGAGTTTGAGTGTCAATATCTTGTTGATATTTCAGTGTTTCAAATCATGGCTGGAAATTTTCTTGCTATGCATATGTTCTGAAGACTTGCTTGCCAAGTCCTTGAGATGCAGCTGCAGATTTCTTCAAACACTGCTTAAAAAAATCATCCAAAACCAAAACAGTCACAAACCATTTCGTATTTGATTTCTAGTCTCCAATAGCATTCATCAATTCCAGATGAGAGAGCATTGAAAATGGAAAAAAAAAAAAATATTTGCTATTAAACTGAACTTCAGTACAAATCAAGTTCTAGAAATGAGGCACATATCCATGTTCACGAAGCCGAGCAGTCAATGACTCCAATTCAGCATAAATAAAGTTTGCTTTAGGATGGGCTTTATCTCCAGTTATAAAAGCATGCACACCATTCTTCAGCTCAATCCAGCTACAGCCTGGTGTCTTCTTCACATTCTGTTGCCTCATTGTGTGTCTAACTTCTGATACCTCCTCGTATCGACCATTCGCTACATAAATATTCGACATCAACACGTAATTACCACAGTGTCCCGGATCAAGTTCATTCACCTTCTGTGCAGCAACCTCTGCAAGATCCTGATTCCCGTGGAGTCTACACGCTGCTAGTAGTGCCCTCCACACCACAGGATTGGTCTCAATAGGCATTTCTAGCACCAATTCATAAGCCTCCTGCAGATGCCCCGCTCGACCAAGCATGTCAACCACACAGGTATAATGCTCAATGGTTGGAACCACGCCATACTTTGACTTCATTTGTCTCAAGAACTCACGACCTTCTCTCACTAAACCTGCATGGCTGCACGCAGACAAAACCCCAACAAATGTTACATCATCAAGCGGGATTCGGGCCTCACACATATCAGAGAACATATCTAATGCCTTGCTGCCATAGCCGTGCATGCCATAACCCATGATCATGATGTTCCAGGATGCCACATCCTTATTCCTCATCTTATCAAAAATCATATAAGCATTTCTCATGCTCCCACATTTTGCATACATGTCCATGACTGCATTCGTCATTTGCACATCATCCACATGTTCATTCACATCCTTTTCCAACCCATTTTTTATCATATAGCCATGAATTTCTCTACCATGCATCAATGCTGCTAGATGAGAGCACACTGGAAGGACCGTCGTGATGGTTACCAAATCAGGAAGAACCCCAGCACTCAACATTCTGTCAAAAAGCCTCAGAGTTCCATCTAGATCGCCACACTGTTCATGCACTGCCATAATTGAGTTCCATGAATATAGATCCTTCTCAATCATCGTCTCAAAAATCTCCAAGGCATCTCCAATACACTTACATTTCCCATACATGTCAATTAATGCATTCAAAACCTCAATTCCTGAATCATACCCCATTTTCATTGCAAACCCATGCACTGCTCTCCCATTGTCAAAATCTCCCATCACCGCGAAAATCGACAAGACCCCAGTTACTGTAAATCTACTCGGCACAACCCCTTCCTCACCCATCATCCTGAAGACCACCAAAGCCTCCTCAAGCCGCCCAATCTGTGCAAACCCATTAACCATTGCATTCCAAAGCACAACATCTTTCACAGGCAATTCGTCAAACAATTCTTGTGCCTCCTCCATTAACCCCAATTTTAATAACGTATTCACCAAAGCGCTACCAATATAAACATCCAACTCCAACCCAAATTTAACCACCAACCCATGAATCTTCCTAACCTCCAAAACCCCACTACAAGCTCTGATCACACATGGAAACGTAAACTTGTCGGGCACAACACCCGTCAACCTCATTCGTCTGTAAAACTCAAACCCATGTCTAGCTAGCCCATTTGCAATGAACCCAGCAATGACTGCATTGTAAGCAAAGACATTGTGGTCAAGGGATTGATAGTTAAAGGTGGAAACGGCGTCGTCCATTTGGTTGCACTTGGAGTACATGTTGATGAGGCTGGTTATGGAGAGAGGGGAGTGAAGGAAGCCATTGGTGAGCATGTAGGAGTGGATTTGCTTGCCCTTTTTGAGGCTCTTGTGGCGAGCACATGCTTGCAATGAGGAAATGCAGGTGGTGAGGTCGTACGAAGACTGGGTTGTGGAGTGTGAGAAGGAGGAGCTGAAACAGAGAGAAAAAGATGGTTTCTTGAAGAAGCTGGTGGTTCTGTTCATTTAAAACAGAGTCTGAGTTTGTGGATTGTCTGATCAGCTTTGCTATCAACATAATCAGTCACTATAAACTAATGCAAAATTTTAACGTTATTTGTGAAAATGATATATTTTATATATTTATACCCGATCAAATAATTATTTAATTTCTCGGGGTTGTAAAACGTTGCTTCCAAGTTCCATAACTCGCGATTTCACTAATTTTTTTGTATCCAACCAACTAGTTAGTATTTCTCATTTCAATATTCAAATAGATTTTAAATTCGAATCCTGTTCTACATTTATAAGTTACCTCTTAAGAAATTTACGATGTGAATTAAAAAAAAATCTCAAAAGCAAATGAATGAATTAAAAAAATTTATATTGGAGGGTTTAAATTGGTAATTAGTAATGAAATAATTGTTAAAGAGAGAATTCAAATTCTTTTATTTTCTATTAATGATAATTTTTCTATTTTAACGTGATATAAGTTCCCAAATTTTGTGGGAGGACCCGCCCAAAATGCACTTTGACCCACACCTCATGACCATTCGATTTTACGGATAAGGTGATGCGCCCAACTTTTCGTACACATTCTACACCGCACCTGCTTATGGGCGCTTAATAATCTAATTTTGGTTTTTTAACAAAACAAAACGAAAAATGAAAAATGAAAAGAAAAAAAAAGAAGGAAGAAGATTCGAATACTTTCCTTAGACTATAGAGTACCTCTTCTTAGACTTACCCGATTCCTGAGATTACAAAAAACCAGATAGTTCGTTGTGGCAAAGAAATCACTTCTTCTCGTTCTCTCACACAAGGAGCGAGAGGAGAGAGAGAGATTGTTTTGATCATCAATGGCGGTGAGGCTCACCACCTGGTTCGTGAGCCAGGGGATTAGCATTAGCGGCTCCAGCTCCAACTCCAAGCGCTCAAATTCTAACTCTCGCTTTTCATTTTATTACTCTCCTGCTTCTTCGTGCAAGCTTCGACACCGTAATCTCAGGTACGCTTCTCTCTCTGTGTGAACTCGTTTATCGATCACTTTCTTCGAACTTCAATCTGCTTGATCAAGTGATGGTGATGGTGGTGATGATGGTTCTTTTGATTGGATTTCGACTTGTGCAGTTGCAATTGCGTGAATAAGAGGCAAAAATTGAAGAAGAAAAACGCAGTCGAACAGTCTTCGGCAACGACAGATTTCCAGTTCAATAGCGATGACGATTTCCAGTTCAATAGCGATGACGACTCTGAATCTGAGAGTGCTTCGGTGGGTATTGCCCCCGTTTTGAATCCAGAAAGCGTCTCTGATGATGAAGCTCACGCTAACAATGCAAACGATTCGATTTCGAATGCTCTAGCCCCGCCTGATCAAACAAATCCTTCGGTAACTCTTCGTCTTTACTTTTCAGAACTCTTATTTATTTATTTTCTGTTGATAAATTTGATTGCTTGTTGTTTTACAGGCCTATAATACACAGGACTTGGTTGGCATGATAAGAAATGCAGAGAAAAGTAGGATAATGCGCTGCCCCGCTCTTGTGGTTTAATTTACTGTTTGTGAGTATTTTTATTTGATATGTGAAATGTGTATCTTTGTTGGCCTTAGATATCCATCTTCTCAACCGAGCTCGGGTTAATGCGCTTCAAGACCTTGACAAGATTCTGGGTGAGAAGGAGGCATTGCAAGGAGAGATGAATGCTTTGGAGATGAAATTGGCAGAGACTGATGCGCGGATCAGAGTAGCTGCCCAGGAAAAAATAAAGGTGGAACTTTTAGGAGACCAGTTGGATAAGATGCGGAATGAGATGAGGTTAAATGGTGGTGGTGATGAAAGAGGTGAGGTGGTTGAGATTTTTGAGAATGAAAACGAGCTATTTAATGAAGAAGCCCCTCTGCCGTACAGAAATAGCATCAATGCTCTTATGGCCAATCTTAATTCATTGAG